TGTGATTTATTGGCTACTTTTTACCCACTTAAAACAGTAAACCAATCAAGCAACGGTTAGAAACGAAACATCATGTCCCCGTGAAAAGTCAAAACGTTTTCTTTGAACAGCGTCCGAACAAATGATTTTCATTCTGTTTTCCGTTCTTTTTAATTTGGTCAGAAGCTAGTCACAAAATTCAGCTAGAATTCACAAATACTTTCATGTTGGGACCACTTTACTATTCGACCAAAACATTTGCCCCATCCTGGTCTCAAGCTATTTGGCAGGATCTGGGGGTTCCTGCCCTCAACCGAGGCCTCCAGATGCCACCCTCATACAAATGCTAATGACAAGATGGAATCCTGTTGCTCCCCCCATGATGTGCAGAGATGGCAACGGGTGGGGTAATTCTTGCCGGCGCTGATTTTGTCATTTCATATTTAGGCTGCTCCGGTCTCAGGGGCCAAGCCAGGACCCTTTCTTCTGGCTGCAGCCATTCCTGTTCCCAGTTGGGCAGCTCGCTTCTGCCTGGGTAGCAGGAGACAGTCACACGTTAAGCAGAGACTGGATTTTTATTTCTACGTGTACTGGGCTCCACATGCATCGGACCGGACTCCCATTGAAGTCACTAAGCTGCTTTGCCACCAGTCTCAAAGGGAGCACAGCAGGGTTTCTTTGTGGACTGCAGGATGTTTATGGGAACATGCGCTTTTTCCAAAGGCATTGCGTAACTCGCCTTCCTAGCACCTCTCGCTAAACAAACAGCAGCAGATCATCTGTCTAGACAGCTGGGCAGCAGCACCTCTACTAGCCGGCTTGCTGACATGCTCCGAGCTGCCGCGTGGCTTCCGTAGCAAAGCAGTGCAGCTCACTGCCAGGCTGCCTTTCATTCATAAATTATGAGGTGTGAGAGCTCTGGTTATGGCAGAAACCAAGCGCTCTCCAGAGTGAGAAATATCTGACACGCAGCGCTGGGGATCTGTGGATTACCACCCCAATACTGTGGGATCAGCCCCTTCAGCCATGGAGTTACGGTCTCCGTGTCCACGCCCAAGGGCCTGGATGCACCTTAGCAAAGTCCAAATAAACACCTAATGGGCTTTTACAAAAACAAGGCAACCTGCCCTGCTAGCACAGAGCTGGGCACTGTTCGAATAGTCCCACGCACTGAGGATAGGTCATTTATTCCAGCGCTCCCCCGGCTGACGTGTAAATGGAACTCCCAGTTTACATTTCCTGCCTTGGTTGGAGTTGGCCTGGCTAGGGCCATCTCGCCGTATGGAGCAGCTGTTAAATGCAAAGCGGTCAAGGCCTTTCGTACAGCAGCGTTCCCCGTCGGGAAAGGGCGGGGCCAGGGAAACTGAAGGCTTCGATTGTCAGGGGACCAGGACACAGGATGCCAGGCCCTGAGAGCAGAAGACCACTTGATGGGTTTACAAGACTAACGCACAAGGAGGAAATATTTTCCACCCCGCTCTGGGTGTTGTCCAGCCAGGCTCCAGCAACGTTTCAACGCCTGGGCAAACAGACTTTTTTCTTCCAGGGCTTCCTGAAACCAAGAAGGCCACAGACTCTAGCGGGAGCTGCTGAAGTCTGCCCATTATTTACCATACGCTTCGTAAGCCCTTTAGCAAGGTAAACTCCTAAATACCTTTGTGAATCTGGCTCTATGGTCCCCGGGCCATTGCCTCTGCAAATGCCCTGGGCAGCCACCCCCTTCCCCAGGCTCCTGGCCATTGGCTGGAGGATCCCCACACACCCCGGTGCCCAGATCTAGTTCCAGAAGCCTGGCAGAAGAGTCTCCCCAAGCCCTGTGGGGCAGGAAATGGTGGCTCTGATGAGATGCTCCCATGCAGGGCCCCCTTCACTGAGATCATCCCATGGGATCCAAGCCAGGGCTACCCTGCCACAGCAGCCCTCCGTAGTGCTGTGCATTGTGGTGGATTAAAGGTGTTGTGGTGCTTCCTCAGCTAAGGATTTGCAGCCATCCTTGAGATTATTGGGGGCTAGGTGCTATTGATAGGTGAGCAGCGCTGGAGAAAAGCAGACCCTGGAGTAGAGCACAGGCACCTGATTCTTCCTCCTAGCGATTTACACCAGAGATAAACCTGGCTCTCCGGGTGCCAGCATAGAGACTACAGCTGCACTCTGCCCCCTACTCCTCCGCCGCTGCTCCAGCCAGCACAGGAGTCCTTTCTGCTCCGAGACGGCCCCAGAGTTGTGGTCCGGGTGCAGCTGCAGGCCGGACTCTGAGCTTGTTCGCACCCGTGCACAGCCAAGCCCCAGCCAGCCAGCTCTTGGCGGAGACCAGAACTCGCTTTCATTCCAGTTGGCAAAACTCCGTAGGACTGCCTCCAAATGGTCAAACATGGGGAGTCAAGCCCCAAAACATCATGAGATTTTAAACTTTGGGATCTGGGTCTTCGCCTTTCAGTTTCCGAGTCATTGGGTTACTGTTATTAGGTTATTAAAGTGCATCACCATAGCTCACAGGAGTGGCTCAAGATCCCACCCTTCTTATGTGGTCAGCTTTTTGGGCAGGGAGCCATCTTTTTGTTCGGTGTATAGCTCAGTGCATCCTGCTTCAACACTAGGGCGCCTAGGTCAGAGCACCTTAGGTGATCCAGAAATACGACAGCACGTGTCCTAGGTGCCGTACAAAGGCAGAACAAAAAGACAAACCCTGCTTCTCTGAGCAGACACTCTTGGGTCACATTTTCAGGCCTTGCTCTGCAACCCAGAAGGCTAAGATCATCCACTTCCTTTTAAAGGCAAGTTGAGATGCCTGTGTAATCATATAGGGTATGTCTACACTACCCCGCTAGTACGCCTGCGTTCCACGAGGCGTACAGATAGTTCGGAATGGCTTGCTAGTCCGAACTATCTAGCCCGTGCCGCATGTAGTCGCGCGGCACGGGGTTCGAACAAGCCGGCTTTTAAAAATGGCGGAGCCGGCTTTTAAAAATCCCGGGCTTCATTTGCACGTTCGGTATGCATACATTACCCCGCTAGTTCGCACTAGCGGGGTAGTGTAGACATACCCATAGATAGTAGCCCAGTGTCTGCCAGTCTGTAACGCTGAAATGCTGGCTGTTCCCTCTGGAGGGCGCTGTTGCTGAAATGCTGGCTGTTCCCTCTGGGCGGCGCTGTTGCTGAAATGCTGGCTGTTCCCTCTGGAGGGCGCTGTTGCTGAAATGCTGGCTGTTCCCTCTGGGCGGCGCTGTTGCTGAAATGCTGGCTGTTCCCTCTGGAGGGCGCTGTTGCTGAAATGCTGGCTGTTCCCTCTGGGCGGCGCTGTTGCTGAAATGCTGGCTGTTCCCTCTGGAGGGCGCTGTTGCTGAAATGCTGGCTGTTCCCTCTGGGCGGCGCTGTTGCTGAAATGCTGGCTGTTCCCTCTGGAGGGCGCTGTTGCTGAAATGCTGGCTGTTCCCTCTGGGCGGCGCTGTTACCCGCTGTGGCGCTCGGCTGACCTCTGCCCCACTCAGCCGGGCCGCCATGGGGGAGCCCAAACGGCTACTTGCTCTGCTGCAGCAGCCCAGCTGAGTGGCACAGAAGTCAGCCAAGTGCCACGGCAGGAGGGGAAAGTGGGCAGAGCGGGAATGTACATGGCCAGGTGGCGGGGGCCGGCTGTGTACAACATCACTCCCCC